CTGCTGAACAGCTGTGAACAGACAAACCTATCAATGAAAAATCAGCTCCTTGTTTGCAACTGGTGAACAGGATGTCAACCAAACTGGCAGCTGTTCAAGCATTCCTACATAAGAGTAGGGATGAGCCAATACAATGTATGTATCCAGCCTTCTGACACACTTCCTGTGATGTCAGGGGGTGTGGCATATGCAAATAAGTTATACTAATGAGTTATGCTAATGAGCTCCTGCACCTCTTTTTCTATGAAATGACCAGTCAATATGTATTGCATCCCTAAGACCTACATGGGGAAAAACAGATAGTGAACCTGTCTCAGTTCTCCTTCCAGAAGATGGACTTACCAATTGTTAGCAAGCTTTCAGAAATCATTTACCCCAATGTTATTGTGCAACATAAATCTACTGTGCTACATATGTCACCTGCAGTCAATAACAAATACATTTTGCCCTATTTTTAACATTTAGGTTAGATACTTGCATTGTATTTCAGTACTTCATTTTGACTTTTATACTTTATGTACTATTATGAAAGAAAACCTACAGTGCCACCCTAAGTAGAGTCACACTATTTTAAACTCAGGGATTTTAATGGACTTAGAAGAGTGCAACTTTGCTTAGAATTGCTAAAAGTAAAAAAAAGAGGAGGTACAGGAAGATCCATCATCGGATCTTGCCAGCATCTTTTTTCAGATGGATTACAACCCCATGGAGAAGACAAGAGGGGTTAAACCCTTTTGCCTGCACAGTTTTGCAAATCAAAACATCATGCTGTTACAGCCTTTAGGAAAAGGACAGATACTCATCTTTTTCCTCTGAAGGTTAATAACAGCATGCTCCTCCCAAGTTTTGATCAGAGCAACTGTGTTGGTATGGGAAGGGTTTGTAATTTGTCTTTAAAAGGCAAAGGGACATCTGTAATCTCTGTCACATTCAATGCTCCCGCTAAACTGTGGAGTCTTGTGAGCAAAAATTCTACTTTGTGAGCTACTGGTATTAAAGTTGTGAGTAAGTGATTTGGCTGCTGCATAAATTAGTTTGCTCTGGAGCCATCCTTCCTGAGCTAAGACAAAAATGTGTGAGCCAGAGGCTAAAAAACTGACCTAGCTCACACTAACTCAGCTTCGATGGAACACTGGTCATGTCTAGTTTGACCCCTAAACTTTTGGAAACAGATAACAATCTCAACTTGACTTGACTTGACAATCTCAACATCAATAGCATAAACAAACAATAGAAGTGTATTCAAAGACAAGATAATTTAATTACCTTGGTAGACCAGTTGCAATGCAGAAGAGTTCCATAATGTCTCTTGAGTTACAATATTTGCTGAAGGCCACCTTTCAAAGGAAATACATAATAGTATTTTGTTTAATATAATTCTGGCCCCATTATTAACTTTTCCCTTTAAATTCTCTTATCATATTTTCAGTTATGAAAGCAAAAATAAATATTTGCCAGAAACACATAAGTAGGGGAGTGAAGGAGACTAAACACTCAGAAACCAATTCCAGGGGGGACAGCAGAAGCATCTTAAAAGACTAACTACATTAGGGTTGAACGGTGGCTCAAGTGGTTAAGATGCTGAACTGCAGGCTGTGGAAGGTCAGTAGTTTGAGACCCGAGTTGCCGCATGACGGAGTGAGCTCCCGTCTCTCATTCCAGCTCCTGCCAACCTAGCAGTTCGAAAGCAAGAAATTGCAAGTAGATAAATAAGTACCACTTCGGTGGGGGGATTTGGGGGGCATTCCAGGGGTCGGTGAGGATGCTAGCGGTGCAATTATGTCACTTCTGGAACTGACGTCATCACATCACCAACATCATGCAGGGATATGGAGGTGGGGTTTCCCCTGCTGGCCAGCTGGTTGGTGGCAGGCAGTAGCCCACAATATATATATACATACACACACACTCACAATTATATATAAGGTAACTGTATTTCACCTCCATATATCTGGAAAGTAAGACGTAATCTTTTGTGCTACATCTATCTACTATGCAGATGTTATTTATGTATATGCACATCATATAAACTGGATATGGAAATTAGAAAATGCGTAATTTTTTAGCAGGCACTTTATTTGTAATTGTCACAGATAAATTAAAACAATGTGGTATCCTTTTGAAAGTTTCTCAAAATGACACCCACACAGGTTGTGGCATGAAAAAAAAGAACCAGTATTCATTCTAAGCTGAGCTTTTTAGCCTCTGGCTCACACATTTTTGTCTTAGCTCAAGAAGGATGGCTCCAGAATAAACTAATTTATGCAGTAGCCAAATTGCTAGCTCACAACTTTAATGCCAGTAGCTCACAAGACTCCACAGTTTAGAAGGAGCATTGCTTATAACCCTGTCAGATTTGAAACATACAACTGTGATGAAGAGAAAATGGAATAAAATAATAGGGTTTATTTTAAAGAGGAATAAGGATATGGTGTTGGAAAAGACTTGTTCCTTGGACTGCAAGGAGATCAAATCAGTCAATCGTAAAAGAAAACCCTGACTGTTCCCTGGAAGGCCTGATAATGAAGCTGAAGCTCAAATACTTTGGCCACCTAAAGAGAAGGGAACACTCACTGGAGAAGACCCTGATGCTGGGAAAGATTGAAGGTAACAGAAGAAGGGGACGGCAACGGATGAGATGGTGAGACAGTGTTATCAATAAAACAAACATGAAATTGAGCAAACTCTGGAGAATGGTAGAAGACAGGAGGGCCTGGTGTGATGTGGTCCGTGGGATCGCGAAGAGTTGGACTCAAGTGTGCGACTGAACAATAAAAAAGGATAGGAAGAAAAACAGAGGCACTACTAATCCATACTCTTTCAATGTTTTCCTGTGGTATTTCTTCACTTTCCCATCTCATTTAGATTGTTTTCAGCTGTTTCATGCTCTAGCCTATCTACATTTTTGTGCCTTTTAACAAATTTTCTAAGGTAACATTAGTGTTTTTGACTATCAAGGCTTCCTGCACCTTTCAAGAAAACCATATGTCTGAAATATAATTGAGATGTATAGTTGGAACTGTAATAAACAAGATGCTTCTGAGCAATGTCCATGATAGGTGGCTTGCCTGCTGAAAGGGAGAGTCAAAAGCTTTGCTTGCACACATTGGCAGGCAGGTAGGCTTGCAGGAATGAGGGGAAGGAATAAAGGTAGAGAATGGCAAGGGTAGAGATAAATTCAAGAAAGATCAGTAAATACAAAAGGCTGGATCTTTCCTTTCTGTGACAGAGAGAGCCACTGATTTAGGATCTGAGATCTCTTGGATATCTTTATTATATTAAAAAGAAATAAAAACGATGTGGAACTCACTATGCACAAGTCTGACTTCTCTGCATCCCACTGTTTGAAGCATATTCTGACTATGTTCTGATATGGGAAGACAGGTGGGCTGGGAGAAAAATGGAGTAGAGAAGGGGCTGAGTTTAGCTTCCTCTGTCCACATGATCCATTTTTGTAAAAAAAGAAAAGAAAAAAGAATCTCTCCTTCACTTGAGGATACTGCAAAAGAAAGGACAATCTCACTCACAGGCTGCTTCATGCCTCCCTATGCCCACTGGGCAAGCAAGAATTTTAATTGTCTGTGGATCAGGGACTCTTTCTGTCTGAAACGGCAAAAGAGGGTCCCTTGGGAGAACAATTAAATACCTCATAATATAATCTCAGTAGGAATGTTTACCATGAAGTGTGTTTACTATTGGATCTGGTGAAGATGTCACTTGATTAATTTCCTAACAGAAACAGTTTTAAAGAACCAGATTCAAGATTTTAAAATGACAATTAACCCAAATCTGACTCTTCCTTTTTTGTGCCTTCCTAATTTTTTTAAGTGAACAGCCTTTCCAGACTGGGGGGGGGGGGCCCTTTTTTATAAAAGGGCAATGTATTGGCACTTTCTAGCTCTCCCATTAGCTGTGCTGTGTGCTCCATCAGCCACTGGCCCATCAGCCACCACTCAAGAGTACTTGTGTGCCATTGGCTGCATGCTGGGTCCGCTCCTCTCCCCCACCCACCATCGGCATGGTCACTTTCCTGACAAAATAAACTGCCAAAATGGCTGTCTCTCTTGACAAAGATGCTTCTCCTGCTTGGCTCCTCTGGCTGACTACTAAAGAAAGCTACTGGCCCTCAAACCATTCTCTTATCTTCCTGCTGTGGAGCTAACTTCCCCCGCAGTGGCTGTTGCTAGGCAACCAAGCTTGGTATTGTCAGTAAAAAGGCAAAGATAGCAGGCCCTTTCGAGGCCTACTTTGGCCTTTGTTGGGAACTCATTGGGGCCAGTCCTGACGAAGGTTGCCAGCTCAAGGTTGGGAAATTCCTGGAAATTTTGTGGTGGAGTCTATGGAAGCCAGAGTTTGGGGAGGGGAGAGGCCTCAGCTGAATGGAATGCCATAGAGTGCACCCTCCAAAGCAGTTATATTCTCCAGGGGGAGAAAAAGATCTGTTGTCTGAAGTTCCACAGCAAGTGTGGCGTAACAGCACTTCAGAGCAGGGTCTGCCAGACTTAGGGTCTTGCTGCAGAAGCTGAGTGGGTGATTTTGAATCAGTCACAGACTTTCAGCCTAACCTACCTCACAGGGTTGTTGAGCAGATCAAAAGGGGGAGAGGAGATTGATGTGAGCTGCTTTGGTCCCCACTGCAGAGAAAGACTGTACTCTTCCTAGGTAGAGGCTGCAGGAAGGGGGGAGGAGATGGAAAGCTGAAGTCAGCGGGGCAGATAAAGGTAGACTGATGGTTGGCTGGGAAGGAGATAGGGTTGCCAACTCCAGGTTGGGATACTCCAGGAGATTTGAGGGGTGGTGCCTGGAGAGTGTGGGGAGTGGGACCTCAGACAGGTACAATGCCATAGACTTCACCCTCCAAACCAGCCATTTCCTCCAGGGGAACCATTGTTGCCAATCTCCAGGTGAGGGCTGGAGAGCACTCAGAATTACTACTGCTCTTCAGGTGGCAGAGATCAGTTCCCCTGGAGAAAACAGTGGACTCTGTGTCATTATACCCTGCTGAGGTCACCACAGCAAATTGACTCTGAGTGCTCAAGACCTAGACACCTGCCCAGAGCCTTTTTCTAGAGCTCGTTGTATTTATTTCCATAACGAGCCTTATTCCTAGTGGTTTTATAATCCCAAGGCCAGATTCTGGGAGTTAGATACTAAAACAAAAATCTGATTCAGATCTGCTTGAAAATGTTAGCAAAACATCTCAGCAAATGGGGATGTGAGGTACTGCTGGAACAAACTAACAAGCTGACAGAATGTCACCAATCTGCTACTGGTGCTAATAGCTGATGAATGCAATAAATGGGGACCTGATATGATTGCTGTTGAACTTAGAATGAACTTCTGAAGCATGCTGGGCTATTGAGCCTTGAAATCAATTACCACTGAACAGAACGAATGCAAGATAAATGGATATGGCAATATAATTGGGAACAAATGAAAGTCAAGTTAGCTTGGTTAATTAAGACTAAATGTGGGAAGATATAATGAATTTAGCAGACCTCTCTCTTTTCAAGCAGTCGGAGATTACAGCTAAGCAAAACCATGCCACCTAATAAATATATGACTTTATTATACATATGTCGGTGCTATGGTACAGTTTAATAAAAGCTTGTTAGTCTTCTTTAACTCTGGGCTACAAAGGGCCAAGGTAATCATCCAAGTTCATAAAACACTCATTCCATTTTGATAAGCATCTCAAGATATGAACTGCAGGATTAATGGAAAAACATTAATAATAATATGATATAAATAATATTTTCCTTTGCTACTTTATATTCTCCAAAAGGAAAAAAAGTAAAACAGTTCCCTGGAAAATATTTGTGATATCTCTGCTCTTTCTGCACAGTATCTAGCCAAAATGTGCAATACAACTGCTTTTCATTGGGAGTATCTATAATACAGACAGGAAGTATATTTATTTTAAAATTTGCACAACACACTTCAAAAAGTTGAGGATGGATGATAAAACATGAGAAACAAATTCACACAGCAAATAATCCCACCATTTAAACCCCCATCTACCAAAGAGGGGTAGGTGGGGAGTTGAAAGACACAGCTGGGCTGCAGTCAGACAACAGGCTTAGCGCAGTCTGGCACTGCTTCTAATTTATCTAGGTTTCTTCCTGGCAACTAACCCCCCCCACCCACCTACACATAATGGTTGGTTGAAGAAGTTTTGTTTCACTGTATCTGAAGAAGTGCGCATGCACACGAAAACTTATACCTTGAATAAAACTTTGTTGATCTTAAATGTGCCACTGGACTCAGTCCATTTCTGCATTACCTTCTTACCTCATTTTAGCAGTAAGTGGAATTCACATCTGATGCTTTGACTTTG